AGTAATTCCCCTCCAATTATCGAAGTCTGTTAAATTTATTTTTCGGGATTTGGACTATTAAGTCTAGTCACCAGGCAACACTTCTTTTTCCCAAATATCCGTAAACAATGGTACTAGAAGGCTGGCAGTTGTGTTGGGATCTACTTTGAGAAGTTCTGCTTTCAGTTCATTTTACTGGTGTTTTGTTGTTCTTTAAAGTGTGGATAGCTCTAAGGATTGCTTGTGTGCTTGGTGGTTTTATATTAATATCAAGCTCCTGAGAGGTTGTTTAAATATCTAGAGGATATTCAGGATAATTCTATTTGGGAGGTTAAGTGCTTAACAGTGCATCTTCACGAAACCTTACGGTAGGTTAAAATCAGTAGAAAAAAGAGGGTGGGTGTGGGAGGATGGGGTGGGAGTTGGGGTTACATTTTAATGCTTTTTAAACTAAACCGGAAATACTATCTATCACAAAAACAAATTTCTTAATCGGAACTAAAAATTTTGAGAAAGCATTTGGTGGACCAGCTACAGAAAGACTTATGTAGATGCAATTTTCCTTCTCTAAAGTTCGATTAATCTAATGATTTTACCGACATAACGGGCTTGCGTATGTGTGTAAGAGTGACGTTTTCCTTTTATGATGTCTAGAATAGAAACGTTATAGCCATGAAGGGCCAACAAAAAGGTCGAGCTTTTTACAATAAAGGTTATATTATAAGGACCGATTTTCTAATGAATAAATTAGTATCCATTACAACAGATGGTACACCGTTTACGGTTGAAATTAGTCTTGATTTTATTACACACTGCAGAGATGACAAAGATATATCTACATTTAATTGTTAGTACGATGTTGAAAACCTCTGAACTCGGATATTGTTTTGACCCCAGTATTCGACATTGGAATTTCAATTCGTTCCAGGAGTTTACAAATAGGTAAGTTTCGTGCTCTGCTCCCAGTTAGAAGCCAAAGATTTCATGGCATGTTATTTCCACTGAAGAGAGGTTGAAACTCTCATGACATTTCAATTTAAGGAATAAATAAATGACTGCGAGGTTGAACTCTGTTCTAAACTATTAGAATTAGTAGAAGGACACAACAAAATTGGAGTTGCCGAGGCGGAGCGGCTAGACGCTCGCCGCAGATCGTAAGGTCGTGGGTTGGCTCCCTGGCGGAGCCAGACTTTTGTCCAAAATGACCTCGGCTTCCAGGTTGACCCAGCCTTGGTGCTGGGTACTGGGTGCAGTCCTAGGAAGTGAAGGCGGCCGGCATGATGCTGACCACATCACCCATCTTGGGCCGAGCGGTCTATAATATGTAGGTCTAGCCCTATATGCCCTAAACGCCTTAAGGCGTGGAAAAAGATCCTTTACTTACACAATAAAATAGCAGAAGAAGAAATTTTGAAGAAACCTGAAGAGCAGCTCACATCAACGCTCTTGACTTCTGAAAATTAACTCAGGAAGAATCGGATCCAAATATTCTGAAGGTTGCATTTTATATATGACAGCATTGTTTGGATAATATGTCATTACAGGGACCAAATAACTGATGGTCATTTCATTTCACGCTTGAGAGTAATAATTACGTCACATGAATTTGATACACTCGCTGATAGAATGCAGTGTCAAGTGGTTAGAAACACGGCAACTGTCTCTTGAAAAAAAAATGCCAATTTTTTTTATTATTATTCAAACTACATATTAATTTTCATCAAATAGGCATAGTTCATTGAATCTTTATAAACTGCATTCTTGTTTCTACGGTTACTGCCGGCTTTATTATTATTATTATTATTATTATTATTATTATTATTATTATTATTATTATTATTATTATTATTATTATTATTATTATTATTATTATTATTATTATTAATTACATTTTACAATTACTTTTTATTAGTTGTAGATTATTGTAAAGTTGATTGTCAAGATTTCTTAAATGACAGGTAGCTAGCGAGCCTAACCACATATTGGCCACCAATGCTTTAGGGTATAACCTGTTCAGTGAAGTCGGTCCACTCGATATGTCTTCTTATTTTTCTTCTTTGCCTTCGGTTTCGTGTGCTCAGCTCAGACCAACAGGTGGGCTTCCTCTATGAATTATCTTGTCATTTACAAGTCCTTTATGGCCTTCCATAGCCTGTTCTGCACACTTTGCTCTTGATGAAAGGTTTCTCTTTGTAGTTGTTTGAAAAGTTTGCAAGCTAGCAGAATGTATTATTTTGGCCAGGTGCACTACTCTGCTTAATCCTGGTACTCCGATGCCCAGAAATACAGTTAGTAGTTTAAATGTATCCGTTCGAGGTTCGAAACCGGCGCTCTTCCGCTTTGCACAGGTCCGTTCAGAGGAACAGTGACATAACAATCCAGGTATCTAAACGTGCTCATTAACGGTCCTATGAAGGAGTCACGAGGCTGAGTTGAATTCATCATCATCATCATCATCATCATCATCCTTTGTGTGCCCTTAGACGTCACATGGGGCTCGCATTCGATTCCTCCATTTCGCTATGACGCATGCACATTTTCCGATTTATGACATGACGTTCAGCCCAGCATTTTTTGCCTCTTGTAAAAATGTTCTTTTCAATGTTTCACTTAGATGTCTTCCTTTTTTTTTTTTCTCAGACCGTTTTTTTTCCTATTTCAGTGCTTGTTTTATAATTCTTGAGTGGAATTGCCAAATAAATACATAATTGCATGCCCAGTGTTTCACTGACCAACTAGTTCGGGACGTATCCACTATCAGATTTGCTTGTAATGGAAACTTAACACTTTTACCCTGATTGTATACTCTTTCAGATTACTATTCATCAATCTCTTGTATTACCGTCTCAGGTTCATTCTTCTCTAGTTTGTGAGTGTGCATGTCTGTGTATGTGTGTCTGTCTGTCTTTGCATGTGTCTGTGAGTGTGTGTGTGTCTGTCTGCGTGTGTGTCTGCGTGTATATGTCTGTCTGTTCAAATGTCTTTGTTTATATTTGTCTCTGTGTGTCTGGGTGTATGTGTATGTATGCGTATAAGTATGTGTATATGCGTGTGCTTGCATGTTTGTGTGTATGTATGTGTGTGTATGTATGTGTAGGTGTGTGTATGTATGTATGCAATATGTATGTATGTATGGATGGTTGTTTGTATGTCTGTATATGTATGTATGTGTGTGTATGTATGTGGATGTGTATGTATGTATATGGGTGTATATGTATGTGTGTGTGTGTAAATGATTGAGTAAGTGAATTTGCGTGTAAATATGCATGTGAGTGTGTGCATGCATTTTTTAGTATACGCATGAATTTTCCCACCACCCGCTTTTGTGTTATTTCTTTATATTCATAAAATGCGTATTAATATATTTGTTCGTTTGTTAGTTCTTTACTGCCCTCAGTTTTGTCACAAAAAAGAGTGTTTTTTATAGAAATGTTATATTTTATATGTATGCCAATTATTGCTTTTTTTTCGTCTCCCGTCTTTCGGTGATTATCGTCACCATCAGTTAGCAGGTTCTTTACAGAACGTTCCTTTCATCACCACACGTCTAACATCCTTTTGCTCTAACCCTATATGCTTTCATAGCCAATGCAACTGTTCGGTTCGGTTTGGAGTCGCTGGGGATATGTAATGTTCTAGCCTTCGCCTGCGTCCTATACCCACATTGTTAAATACAACCATTGACAATTTTTTTTTTTTTTGGCCTTATAAGTATACAAACAGTTTCTGAGGACAGTAGTGTACACATGGTAAACAGGGACGATGCATTTCGAATCATTTACACTTCGGACAACGTAGATTGCTGCGATACACAGAATCGACAGCGATCAGCCATTTTAATCCAGAATTATGCCGACAGAAGGAAATACTCGTCACTTTGCGGTTACCTTGGTGAAACAAAGTGTGAATGTAGTAGATTTTGTGTTTCAGTTTAAAAGTTTCACTTATGTGCTTCATTTTACTCAATTGTTACTGTTACTGTTACAGTGAAATATGCCAGGAAATAAATTGTGCAATATATTGTTTGTGTCCTCATTGTTCAAATTCCTGTTGGGAAACATTGCTTTGGTATGTGTGTGTGCCTGAGTGAGGAGAGAGTTAGTGAGTGAATGAGTGAGTGTGTGTGTGTTTGTGCGCGCGCACCATCCATGTTTTTGTGTTTTCTTTTGATATTCACAATACGGTATTGTTATATGAATATGCTTTAGTGATAAAATACAACTGGTGTGTCTTCTTTCTTCTTCTTCTATCCTTCTGTCAGAAAATTTATATCTGGAGGCCGTTAGCCTTTCTGAAAGCTATCGTGCAGCCCATATCCTCTCGTGTACCATACAACTGATGTGTGAAAGCTGAGTGTTTGGAAAGGGCGAATGCAAGATGAGCTCGCTTGCCCACTTTGTGGCACTTTTAAAATAGCATTCTTTCCTGCGTTCGTTTGTTAGCCTCTTTTTCTATTAACAGTGCATTTTATTGCCTTTGCTTCCTTAAAATACCTCAGATTCTGCTGCATATTGGCATCTCTAAGGCCTCCGCTCTGACCTTTCTAATTACTTTCCACTGATCCGGTCTCCGCGCTTTACACTATGGTTGCGTTCTCCACGATGTCAACAGACCGTATCTTACAAACATATAAATATTGTAAGAAAAAATCGAAAGAGAGGCTGATCGTGAAAGCATTAAATAAATGGTCTCCAAAAACTATATGTAACTACACGTAACCTTGTCACTGCAAGGTACAAGAGGTGAGTCGAAAAAGAGCCGAAATGGGATAATTAGACACTTAGTCTGAGGACTGATAGACCAAAGAAGAAGAAGAAGAAGAAGAAGAAGAAGGGGGAGGATGAAGAGAAGGAGGAGAAAATAGCGGAACTATGTAATAAACAAGGGACACAATTAATACATAGTCACATGTTTATTGCAGAATTTTCAAAGATACAATTGCAAAAGAATGATATATTTAAGAAACACCAGAGCCCTGTTGTGAATCTGTGCCCCGGTTAATTTACCAAGATGTTATTAGCCTAACCACAACAGCTTCCTGAAGATGATCCACCGGAAGAGCCTGCCTTGTTACCCCCTGAACTTGACCAACCGTATGATCCGTACCCACCCGATCCATCATAACTTCCAGAACTGCCATATCCACTTCCTGATCCCCCAGACCCCTTTGAACCAGAGCCACCGTAACCGCCACTTGATCCACCATAACCACTACCAGAGCTTCCCGATCCTCCATAACTTCCAGATCCACCGTATCCACTGCTTGACCCACTTGAACCTTTTGAACCAGACCCACCATATCCGCCACTAGATCCACCATATCCACCGCTAGACCCACCATACCCACCACTAGACCCACCATATCCACCGCTTGTGCCCCCATACCCCCCTCTTGAACCACTAGATCCACCATAGCCACCAGAACTGCCATATCCCCCACTAGACCCACCCGACCCTTTTGATCCATAGCTTCCAGAGCCACCGTATCCACTGCTTCCACTAGATCCCCCATAGCCGCCACTGGATCCATCATATCCACCGCTGGATCCACTTGAGCTGCCATATCCACCACGGGAGCCACCAGACCCTCCATAGCTGCCAGAGCCACCATAACCACTACCAGATCCACCATATCCACTACCAGATCCACCAGATCCACTACCAGATCCACCATATCCACCATTTGATCCACCATATCCACTACCAGATCCACTATATCCACCGTTGGATCCACCATATCCACTACCAGATCCACCATATCCACCGTTGGATCCACCATATCCACTACCAGATCCACCATATCCACCGTTGGATCCACCATATCCACTACCAGATCCACCATATCCACCGTTGGATCCACCATATCCACCACCTGACCCACCATAACCACCACTAGACCCTCCGTAGCCTCCAGAGCTCCCATATCCACCAGAGCTACTGCCGCCCTTTCCACCCGAGCCATATCCGCTACTGCCGCCTGCGGGGTAAAAGACAGAAAAAAAAATACGTGATTACGAATGTCGTAATGTATTATACGATAGTACGTGAGTACAAGAGTATTCAATGGGGGCTGCGTGGTCTCGAGGAATGGTGTCCTTGCCGAGTGCTAGAGGTTCAGGGTTCAATCCCCGGTAATGGCTGGGAGTTTTTCCACGTGGATTCGGACTTCTAATAATTTCCCCTGGTCTCTGGGAAGTGAGATGGACGCCAGTGTGCATTGTGGCGCGCGTAAAAAAAAATCTCTTGAAAGTTGGAAATCGAAAAGAGTAGCCTAACGGCGCTGCCCTGGCAATTTTTGGAGTTAAAAATCGACTCAAAGTATTTCAGTATTCTCGCCAGTGCTACAAAGACTGTGCACTCTGCGGAGCTTCTTCGGACTCAGACTTGAAGAAGAGGCGAGCACTTATAGGTTACTATCCGTGTGCCATGATGTTGATCCGTAGCTCAAACCTAAAACATCAAACCTAAAAGAATATTCAGTTAATCAATCAGGTGCCTTCTCTGCCATGAAAGTTGGCTGCAATGGATCGCCTCCAACATTTCCAACATTCTCTATCTCTTGTCGTGGTTGTGTATTCTTTCAGACTGCAGTTTGTCCATTTCTTGATGCTGCCTTCTCACTTGTATCGTTGTTTACCTCTTGCACCTTTCAGTGTGGTTTTTAGAAAAGCGTCATTTAATGTGGCCAAAACATTTCATTTGTATTTTTATTTATTTCAGTAATTCTCTTTTCATTTCTAGTCTTTACATAATATCTGTAATGGAGTGTTTTTGCTTTTATGAAATACAACTTATTCTTCTGGATTTCAAAGATGGTGATGATTATAATGATGATGACGATAATGATGATGACGATAATGAAGAAGATAATAATGATGATGATGATAATGATGATGATGATAATGATAATGATAATGATGATGATAAAAATGATGATAATTATGATGATGATGATTAGGTTAACTTAAAATGTAACTATTTCTAATAAACGGATAATGAATACCTAATCCCACTTCAACTCTCTTCCCTTTCTGTACTTACTTCCACCACTACGAACAGTATTGCCCCGAGGACGACTTCCGCAGTTGACTTTCTCAGGCCAGTCACAGTAGCTGTTCTCAGGGTTAAACAGGAGTTCAGGCTGACAGTTCATCACTGTGGGATTTCCATTGTCACACTGGATGTACTGATTACAGTTTTGAGGATACTCGAACTGACCATGGGCTCTTGGACATCGGCCTATAACCAAACGCATGATGAAAAAAAGGCTTGTGAAATCAACTTTAAACACGATACTCATGAAACATGATAGACGAACCAGACTCGCTGCATCGTCTGCTTCTTCTTCTTCATCGTCTTCTTCTTCTTCTTCATCGTCTGCTTCTTCTTCTTCATCGTCTGCTTCTTCTTCTTCATCGTCTGCTTCTTCTTCTTCATCGTCTGCTTCTTCTTCTTCATCGTCTTCTTCTTCTTCTTCATCGTCTTCTTCTTCTTCTTCTTCTTCTTCTTCTTCTTCTTCTTCTTCTTCTTCTTCTTCTTCTTCTCCTCTTTCTTCTTCTTCTTCTTCTTTCTTCTTCTTCTTCTTCTTCTTCTCTTCTTCTTCTTCTTCTTCTTCTTCTTCTTCTTCTTCTTCTTCTTCTTCTTCTTCTTCTTCTTCTTCTTCTTCTTTTTCTTCTTCTTCTTCTCCTTTCTTCTTCTTCTTCTTCTTCTTCTTCTTCTTCTTCTTCTTCTTCTTCTTCTTCTTCTTCTTCTTCTTCTTCTTCTCTTCTTCTTTTCCTTCTTCTTCTTCTTCTTCTTCTTCTTCTTCTTCTTCTTCTTCTTCTTCTTCTTCTTCTTCTTCTTCTTCTTCTTCTTCTTCTTCTTCTTCTTCTTCTTCTTCTTCTTCTTCTTCTTCTTCTTCTTCTTCTTCTTCTTCTTCTTCTTCTTCTTCTTCTTCTTCTTCTTCTTCTTCTTCTTCTTCTTCTTCTTCTTCTTATTCTTATTCTTCTTCTTCATCTTCTTCTTCTTCTTTTTCTTCTTCTTCTTCTTCTTCTTCTTCTTCTTCTTCTTCTTCTTCTTCTTCTTCTTCTTCTTCTTCTTCTTCTTCTTCTTCTTCTTCTTCTTCTTCTTCTTCTTCTTCTTCTTCTTCTTCTTCTTCTTCTTCCTCTGCCTCGCCTCACTGGCTGTAAACCCGGGCAAAAAGTTCTGGCTGCTCGTCAGCTTCTGGACTCCAGTCCTGTTGCAGAACCTGAGAGTTACATGCACATCCGTTAAACAGATCAGTCTCATTTGTTTCCAGACTGTTGGTTCCTTGCCTCTCAAAAGAAGCTACCAGGTAGTTGACTGTTACATGTTTTTGCGTAGGCAGAGGGTATTTTATCGTTTGCTCCACAATGGAACCCAGAAACCCCCATATGAAGCTAATTAAATCGAATTTCAATATGACAATCTTAAAACATAATAACGAAAAAGCTTTGTGTACATTTTTTTTTTTTATTTGGCGCACTAGATATCTGGTTCTTTACTCATATTTGTTTGGAAAAATCTAAACTCATTTGGGTCAATATCTTGCCGAGCGCTTTTACTTTCCATGACATTACCTGGTACCCACTAAGAACGTGGTTGACCTGTCATCCAAGGTCATTTTCCTAATGAAAATCTAATAACTTGGGGCCGGAAGGTGAGTGCTAAACTTTGACAAGGAGTGGGGAACTTGAAGTGAAAAAAAAAATTCCTTACTTATCACATGTCCTCCCCATCTTTTTAACTTTATTCTCTAGCCCTCTTCTCTGAATGTAAAAGGTGATGGTACAAATCACGGAATTCACCCCACCTTGCTCGGGTGGGAGATTTACCGTTCCGACTGGCTGTCCTATATTCTAGAGTTGTTCTGAGATTTCCTCCTTCCCCTCTATATTCACCTTGGCGAAAAGTGCCTCGAGTTGATTTGCTATCGCCTGGTTTTAGACCAAAGTCAACGTGTAGCCACCCTTTTCCGGAAAACGCCAAAAACGAAATGTCGCTTGTGCAGGAAACATTAAATCAGGTTGCTTACTTGGTTTCAGGGGTATGTCTTTAAAGTGGCATTTTAAAGACGAAAGAAATGTTATGATGTCACAACCACATTTAACTTACTGTCAGATTTGCCACCTCCGTAGCTTCCACTGCCGCTACCATAGCTTCCACTTCCACTGCCGCTACCATAGCTTCCACTGCCGCTACCGTAGCCTCTACTTCCACTGTCGCTACCGTAGGCTCCACTTCCACTGCCGCTACCATAGCTTCCACTTCCGCTTCCATAACTCCCGCTGCCACTACCATAGCCTTTAGTGCCGCCGCTACCGTAACTTCCACTTCCGCTGCCATAGCTGCCACTTCCTCTGCCACTTCCGCTGCGACCTCTGCTGCCACTTCCGCTGCCACTTCCGCTGCCACTTCCGCTTCCGCTGCCACTTCCGCTGCCACTTCCGCTACCACTTCCGCTGCCACTTCCGCTTCCACTTCCACTGCCACTTCCGCTGCCACTTGCGCTGCGACCTCTGCTGCCACTTCCGCTGCCACTTCCGCTGCCACTTCCGCTGCCACTTCCGCTGCCACTTCCGCTTCCGCTGCCACTTCCGCTGCCACTTCCGCTTCCGCTGCCACTTCCGCTGCCACTTCCGCTGCCACTTCCGCTGCCACTTCCACTTCCGCTGCCACTTGCTCTGCGACCTCTGCTGCCACTTCCGCTGCCACTTCCGCTTCCGCTGCCACTTCCGCTTCCGCTGCCACTTCCGCTTCCACTTCCGCTTCCACTTCCGCTGCCACTTCCGCTTCCACTTCCGCTGCCACTTCCGCTTCCACTTCCGCTGCCACTTCCGCTGCCACTTCCGCTGCCACTTCTGCTGCGACTTTCATAACTTCCACTTCCCTTACTGCCATCATAACTTCCGTTTCCGCCACTGCTGCCGTAACTTCCACCGCCTGTACTTCCCATGCTGCTGCCTCCACCTGGCGCTCTCTTGATCCTCAAAAAGGATGCCTGGCTGGCGGTGCACACCACAAGAACAACAAGACATATCGTGGGAATACCTGCCATCTCTGGAAAAGATACGAATGCAAGAAAGGCAGTATAAGTAATAACATGTTAGTCTCATTTGGAACCATGAAAAAATACAATGTACACAAATATACAAATTATTGCATGAGTGAACGAATGAATGAGTGAATGAAGTTCAACTCCACCAGTACCCCACAACGAGCGACAAACACTCGGTGACACAAAGTACCACCATTCAGATGCGAATCACCCAGGCACAAGTCCCAGAAACCCCGTTCAACCGTTAAGTTATATTAGATCCGACAGCAGCTGGTGTGGGGTTTTGAAGTAAAGAAAAAGTGTGTCCTACACTTGGTCAAACCCATATCCCATAGGAGAAGCTGCTGGTCGAACAGATAAGGACGCTAGGCTCTATTTGGGGAAGCGAGGTTGGAATCCAGGGTACGGTTAGAGGTGGGCATCGTAGGCAGAAACATAAATGCTGACCTGCACAGTCCGTGATGACAGCATTAATCATGCAGCCCTAAATCCTTAGACTTAAAGACCACCCTGCCTACATCACAAACGTGATAGATACATACAGTAATGGCAATTTTCGTAATGCTGGGTTCGATCCCAGCTACAGGCTATGCGCCTTGCGTTGGTTTCGACAGTAGTATCAAAAAGCCGACTGTCCAGAAAGTTATAGCTAACTACTGGACGCAAATTTGCCTAGAAAAACCACAACAGCCCAAAAAAAAAAAAAAGCTAGTGTTGGTTCTGTAATGCCTGTAAAGGCAACTCACTTTTTTAAATGGCAATTCAACCCGTACGTGGAGCGAGGGCTGTAATAGAAGAAGCAACGCTAAGTGAAGGAGAGCTCTTGTTGTTTTTTTAATAAGAATGACGTATTTTAGAGTATATTACTTCGTCAAGTAAATTAATTAGAAATGCTTTACAGTATTGTGAAAAAGTATGTGTATTTTTCTGTGTTTGAAGATTGTCAGCTTGAATTTTGTTTTCCTAGTCCTCCTCATCTTTTTTTCCGCCTCCCCCCTCATACATTTTAGCATGCTTTTCTTATCTTCCTTCCCCCGTCTCTTTATCTTATTCTTCTTGTTCTACTCCTCCTCCGCCTGCATTTTCATTGCCATAGAAAAATTTATTTTTTTACTGTTTAGTATTACCGTTTACCATTTAGCACAAATATGCCTCTTGGTTTACACCTTGAATATTGCGGAAAGAACGATCGTTACAACGCTCACTCCAGTCACACAGAAACTGTAACGTGTAAAAGCTAACGGTTACTAGTACTTCGATGCCAGATGCACATGCATTCTCTCAACAGCGAAGCAAAGGGAGGGGAAAAGTCACGTGATACCTGCCCCAGTGCAAGCCCCTGCTTTCTGTCTTATTACTGCAACAATACATTTTGTGCTACCGCGCGCGTAGAGATTTACAATAGCATTATATATTTATTATTCTCCCCTTACCCCATCCCCTAACCCCCCCCCCCCCCCCCCAAGTAAGTCCTGTATCGCTATCATCATTATCACTTTCTATGTCAATTGGCATTGTTCAACTCCCTCACGTGATCCATAGGATTACAGATCAGATCTGTGTTCTTATCCCGTCCCATTCACGTGACCAAGCCGCCGAAGTATTTATCTCTTTGCTCTTTGTTCGTCTATGACTCTTCTTCCATCTAGCTCTCTAGCTGTCACCATGTTTTCCAGTTTAGTACTTCAAATAGCGTGTCCAAAAATATCAAATCGGAAAAAATCGACTCTCTCTGTCTAGTTTCTCTAGGCAGGTTTCCCCTGTCTTGATGAGGCTTGCCGTGTAGTTGTTGTTGATTCCACTGCCTATTCCTATCAACGTAGTTTCGAATTATGCCAGGTACTTTTCACTGAAACATCACCCACCAAGTGACGATTGGTCTATAGCATATAGCTGTATATGCCCAATACGCCCAAAGGCTTGGAAAAGCGTCTCTACTTTTACTTTTACTTTTCATTAGTTCCTATATTGTTTTCCTACTAAATGCCGAGTGTTTTTCTAGTAAGTTCCATTAGAAAAAACACAACAGCCAACACATGCTGGAGTTGGTTCTGCAACGTCCTTAAAGCAGCGTTTCTCGAACTCTTTTCGCTGCGGCACCCTTGTCCATCAAAAAAAAAAAAAATTTTAAACTCACTTAAAACGGTTTGGATAATTAGGAAAAGGAAAAAAAAACACAGCGCAAATTTAATGCGATGAATGAAACTGTTTGTATGAATTCTTCATCATGTTTATGGGAAGTTTGGTTAATTTTACCCTCAAATCATTTGATGGTTGCTCCTGTACCTTTTTTTTTTTTTTTAATGTAAGCATACTTTGAGAATGCACTGCAGCCTTGCCAATGGCATTGTTTTCTGAATACACCTGCATCCAGAACTCTTTTTAACTTCCTTCGTGGTATTTCTGAATACACCTGTCCAGAACTCTTTTTAACTTCCTTCGTGGTATTTCTGAATACACCTGCGTCCAGAACTCTTTTTAACTTCCTTCGTGGTATTTCTGAATACACCTGCGTCCAGAACTCTTTTTAACTTCCTTCGTGGTATTTCTGAATACACCTGCGACGAGAACTCTTTTTAACTTCCTTCGTGGTATTTCTGAATACACCTGCGTCCAGAACTCTTTTTAACTTCCTTCGTGGTATTTCTGAATACACCTGCGTCCAGAACTCTTTTTAACTTCCTTCGTGGTATTTCTGAATACACCTGCGTCCAGAACTCTTTTTAACTTCCTTCGTGGTATTTCTGAATACACCTGCATCCAGAACTCTTTTTAGCTTCCTTTATGGTATTTCTGTTTTAAACTGCTGTCTTCGCTGATCTAAAGCAGATTTTCTAAAATTCTTGATTACTGCCGCGGCACCGCTGGCATACGACCACGTCCCCCTGGGTGCCCGATCCGCCAGAAATGATTGGCTGTACACATAAAAAGGTCTGCCTGATCATGTAACACAGTGGTTCTCAACCTGTGGGTCGCGACCTTTTAGCGGGTCGAGCGACCCTTTCACAGGGGTCGCCAAGGACCATTGCAAAACACATATTCGCTGAAGTTATGAAGTAGCAACAACATGAGGAACTGTATTAAACGGTCGCCGCATTAGGAAGTCTGAGAGTCACTGATGTAACAGCTATAGTGGAAACCAATACGGAAATCGAATGAAAGTTATGGCAGTGTTTAGTCTCTTAGAAACATTGCCCCTGTCACGAGTATTACATTTTCTTACCTTTAAGCAGCACGTTCTATAATCAATGAATTGTAATTTTATGAAATGTTACTTTATTTCAGTTTTGTTGTCTTCTTTTTCTTCTTCTTCTTCTTCTTCTTCTTCTTCTTCTTCTTCTTCTTCTTCTTCTTCTTCTTCTTCTTCTTCTTCTTCTTCTTCTTCTTCTTCTTCTTCTTCTTCTTCTTCTTCTTCTTCTTCTTCTTCTTCTTCTTCTTCTTCTTCTTCTTCTTCTGCCTCTGCTTCTTCTTCTTCTTCTTCTTCTTCTTCTTCTTCTTCTTCTTCTTCTTCTTCTTCTTCTTCTTCTTCTTCTTCTTCTTCTTCTTCTTCTTCTTCTTCTTCTTCTTCTTCTTCTTCTTCTTCTTCTTCTTCTTCTTCTTCTTCTTCTTCTTCTTCTTCATCTTCCTCTCTTTCCCCGGCTGTAAACTCCGGCCGAAAGTTTTAGTTGTTCTCCCATTTCTAGACAATAGTCCTATTCTAGAACCAGAGCATCACGTGCACATCCATTTTACAAATCTGACTCAATTGTATGCAGATTTTTGGTTCCCCGCCTGTCAGTGAAACTCCTAATTAGTAGATTCCTACGACATGCTTTTTGTTTTCTTGTTCACCCCCCCCCCCCCCCCCCCACAACGGAGCTCCGGAACACACACTGGAATCTACATGTCTCTATTGGCCGTCAGCAGGTCCGAGAAATACTTTATTCCAGAGTCTCCGTACAATTTGAAGAACATCGCTGTTAAGGATATGATACTAACTAGTATCTAACCGCACATTAAAACTGGGCACACTTGCCCTATTAAAACTTAGTATTGATTACTTACTGGTGCAGGAAATGACGTTGATGCAGCTGAAGTCCCTACTGTCTCCCTCTAACTACACCTGACTTTTATACTTTAATTATCGAGAAGAACACACATTCAGATCTGTCAGTTGGACAAACATAGCTTGAGAAACTGTTTATTTAATACGAAAATATGTGAATCAGTTTCGCTTCTTCGTTTAACAAAAGACACGACCTGGACGGTCATCAGAATATGTTAGCAGAACTAGAGATTTCAGGTCTTTGTGCAAAGTTTGAACGAGGTAAATTACCACGAGATTGAAAAATGATTGTAAAATTCCAGAGTTGTCAATATTCAGACAAATATTCATGTGTGTATGTGAGAGAGAGAGACACACACACACACACAGAGAGAGAGAGAGAGAGAGAGAGAGAGAGAGAGAGAGAGAGAGAGAGAGAGAGAGAGAGAGAGAGAGAGAGAGAGAGTTAACACGCTCATCTGTGAATGCATTATATTTTATACATTAAAAATGTAAACCAATTCATTAATTCGTTGTTTTGTTGTGTAAGTATGTATTACATATGGCTCGCAGTCTATTCCTTCATTCACTTCTATTCTGTGCAATCAGCTCAATATTATAGATAGAATCTAGTCCAGCCTCTCTGCTCTCTCTCTCTCTCTCTCTCTCTCTCTCTCTCTCTCTCTCTCTCTCTCTCTCTCATCAACGTTCGTTTTAGGGTTTCTTTTGTGCGTCCTTGACATCTGTATCCCTTTATTTTCCATGTTAATGCATGTTTGCGTACTCTCTGCCGGTTTCTTTTCAGGATGTGTCCAATGTAACGCCATCTTCTGTGTCTTATAACTGTTGATACTAGTGGTTGAAAAGACATTTA